CTTTAACCGAGTGACAGATCTACCTTTATCACCACTTCCGCTCCTGCCACTGCCACTACCACTACCAGTACCAGCTGTGGAATCCGACATATCCTGAAAAACAAAACAATATGAAGTCAACATACTTTATAAGTTTGAATAAAAAGAACTAGAAAATGTGAAGATAAACACCTATTATGTTGGTATGTTTTCCCATATCCCTTCATCATGATCACTTCGAATTGCATGTATGTCATCAACTTCATTGTCAACTATGTCATCAAATGGTCTACTTGAAAATGAAGGTGTTTCATGTATATCTAGAGACTCATCTTCATGAATTCCGTGCATGCTTCTTCCTTCAAGGACAATTGACCATCTCTCATTACATGGATCCTTGACATAAAATATTTGTCTCGCTTGATATGCCAAAATAAAAGGTTCATCCTTATACCCAACTTTACTCAAATCAACCAAAGTAAATCCTAGGTCATCTCGTTCGCACACCCGTATTCCCTTCAACCCATTTACACTTGAAGACGAGACACCCTAAAAGTAACATAATCAATTTCCCATATCTCTTGTATGACCCCAAAATAACTCATAAAAGCTGTGATAGGATTTTTGTCTTTAGAACTAGAAAAATGCATAGATTCAGACTTGAATTGTGACCCCACTATTTTGTACTCTACCTTTATCATCTTTTATTTTTGAGTAGAAACAATAGTTATTAATGTCATACCCACCAAATGTAATGACATCACTATTAGGCCCACGAGCAAGTCTCAAAAGTGTTTCGAAACATTAATCTCAACATATACCCTTTTTTTAAACCAAGAAAGGAAATTTTTGTTATGTTCATTCAATACCCATTTTTCATTCATTCGTGGATGTGTTGCCTTTATTTCAGCTTATGTGTTGCGATATGTAAGGGATTACTTCATCGGTGTTGTTCAATATGTATAAATGTGCTTGGTCAACTTCTTTCCGACTAACATTTTTAATCTTTAAATTTCGAGTACCCTTACCTTCACATCTTCCATCATGTCTCATCTTAGGAATACCTATTGGTTCTGATTTTGACATGTATCCTAAACAAAACTCAATGACTTCTTCTGCAATGTACCTTTCCACAATAGAAGCTTCTGGCTTGTACTGATTCTTCACATATCCTTTTAAGATCTTCATGTATCTCTCAACAGGATACATCCATCTAAGAAAAATTGGACCACATAATCGAATTTCCCTTACCAAATGGACTATCAAATACACCATGATATCAAAAAATGAAGGGGGAAAATACATTTCTAACTGGCACACTATTACAATTGCTTCATTTTCTAATTCATCTAACTTTTTTGGATCAATTACCTTTTTACAAATGGCGTTGAAAAGCAAACATAACCGAGTAATAGCAACTCTAACAGAAGTTGGTAAGATGTTTCGAATAGCCACTGATAAAAGTTGTTGCATCAACACATGACAATCATGATACTTTAAACCAACAAATTTCAACTCTTGCATAGACACAAGACTCTTAACATTTGAGGAGTATCCTTGTGGCACTTTGACATCACGTAAACACTCACAAAAACTTCTCTTTTCTTTCTTTGATAGAGTATGACAAGCTGGAGGTAAGTAAGTGCATTTTCCAACTGATTGTGGATGTAATTCAGAACGTATACCCATGTCCGCCAAATCTTGTCGTGCTTTTATTCCATCTTTTGTCTTTCCTTTTATGTTAAGAAATGTCCCAATTATACTATCACAAACATTTTTTTCAACATGCATCACATCTATACAGTGTCTAACTTCCAACTTACACCAATAAGGAAGATTAAAGAATACAGATTGTTTCTTCCAAATGTTTTTCTCATTGGATTTCTTTTGGGTCTTTCCAAACACAATATTACTATTTTTCACTTGCTCATATACTTGTTCACCATTGCGTGGTACTAATGCAACTGCATTCTCCTGACATCCATTAAATGCTTTCTTCATTGTACGATATGGATGGTTAGCAACTAGAAACTTTCTATGCCTATTGTACGCAGTTTTTTGTCCATGTTTCAATTGGATATAACTTGTGTCTTCTTGACATAAAGGACACGCTAAATGACCTTTCACACTATAACCGCTCAAATTACCATATGCTGGAAAATCATTTATAGTACAAAATAACATTGCACGCAACCTGAAATTCACTTCGTGATATGAATCAAATACATCTACTCCTGTTTCCCACAACATCTTCAAATCATCAATTAAAGGACTAAGATATACATCTATGTCATTTCCTGGTTGTCGAGATCTTGAAATCATCATAGATAACATAATATCACTACAAGAAAATTGCGTATTATCGATGAATATTTACCGACGGATTTATAACTGTCGGAAAATAATTATTACCGACGGATATAAAATATTTGTGGAATTTGATTTTACCGACAGATATATCCGTCGGTAAAATAATAATTAGTTACCAACGGATATATCCGTCGATCAATCCATCTGTAATTTACGGATGAATTTACCGACGGATATATCCGTCTGTAAATCTGTCGATAAATTAACAATTAGTAAATATTCACCTAATTAAAAAATTAAATATTTTTTATTTAATAATTTAATTTAATCATAATTAGATTAATTTATAATAATTTCTTAAATTAAATAATTTAAAAAAAATAAATATTTAATTATATATAAATATATAAAAATATTTAATTATATATAAATATATATAAAAATATATAAATATATAAATATATAAAATAAAAATATATAAATATAATTTATTTGTAAATTATTATCGAAAAATTCCGGTAGCTTAATGGTTGGAGTATCACCTCTAACTCTAAGGTATTGGGTTTGAATCTCATCAATAACAATTCTCTTAATCTAATAATAATTAAATGCTTTGAAAATGTAATAGGGGAAAATAATTAATAATAAATAATAAAAATATAAAGAGAAGGGCTTCTATAAAATAAATAAGCTATATAATAAATAATAAAAATATTATCGATCGATTTTTGGCCGTTGAAAATCCGTATATTAAAATTTCTTGTAGTGTATATTTTCTCTTCATGCATAACCAAGGAGACAAATTGGAAATGATCAACAAAACTGGGCATGAACTATGTTTACTACTTAAATTTCCATAAGGATTCATCCCATCTGTAGCTAATCCAATTCTCAAGTTTCTTGGCTCTGCACCAAATTCTGGAAAGGTTTCATCAATCCTTTTCCATTGTGGAGAATCAGCTGGATGTCGAAGAAGATTGTCACATTTTCTACCATTTTGCATGCCATGTCAAGTTTCTTGCATCTTCTTTTATGGAAAATAATCTTTTAAACCTAGGTATAATTGGCAAATACCATAACACCTTAGCAGGGGGACCATCTAGTTCTTCCTCACCACTACTTTCCTCAACTTTGTTTTTGAACCTCGACAAACCACATGTCGGACACATCTTTAATTTAGCAAAATCATTTCTGTACAATATACAATCATTAGGACATGCATGTATCTTCTTGTACTCTAAACCCATTGGACATAATATATTTTTTGCCTCATAGTTACAAATAGGTAATGTATTATCTTCAGGAAGCATCTCCTTCAACAACTCCAATAATTCGGTGAAACTTTTATCAGTCCATCCATTTCTTGCTTTTAAAGTAAACAATTTTAAAGTTGCTGATAATCTTGTAAAACTACATCCTATGTACAATTGTTGCGCAAAATCAAATTTCAAAGAATCATATAGATGTGCTTTCATAAAATTTTCTTTACCAATATCACGTATCATATCCTCTAGATTATCATTCATCCCTTCATCAAAATTGTCTGTAGTTGACACAGTTGAGATGTCTAATATTTCTGCATGCCATGTCCATATTGTATAACTCTTAATAATACCATAAACAAACAAGTGATCACGTATATCCTCAAGTTTATGATGAATTTGATTCAAACAACGAACACATGGACAATAATATGTCCCTTTCATAGCTTTTCCATTTTCACTAGCAAATTTCAAAAATTCCTTAACTCCATTTTCGTACTCTTCACTAATACGACGTGCATTCATCCAACTTCGATTCATATTATGTTATAAAGTTTCGTCACTCCTAGAGATTTAAAAATTATATGTAAAAAGAAATTAATATACAAACAACAAAACACGTAAATGGAGTGTGTAAACCGAAAATGCACTCAAACAAATAAACAAATAATTACATTCCAATAACAATCCGGTGGAGACATTCATACAATAACGTGATTGAGATCTCTAAAAACAATCACATATTCAATTTAAACATATAGCAATGACATAGAACACTAACCTCGAGTGTAGACGAAAATGATTTCAAACTTGAATCCAATCGGGGAGAAATATCAAGTTCGTAAAATGAGACACAATGTTGATGTTTTTCACTGTCAAACTGATCGAAAATGGTGTGCAGAGGTAGCTGTCATCGTCGTTCTCGTCGTCGTTCTCAAAAATCCTTGCTGCATGAGACGAGGGAGTGGGTTTGAGGGGAATAAAAGACACTTTTTACATCGCGCACCCTAGCATGCGACGTAAAAAGCACTCTTTTACGTCGCACCTGGGTGGCGCGACGTAAAAGAAGGTTTTTTACGTCACCTCCTAGGATGTGCGACGTAAAAGTTTTGTCTCTTATTTATAACGCGTTTTATTTACTTCGAATATTTTTACATGCGACGACAATTATGTGACATAGAAGCCCTTTTTTGCACTAGTGATAAATAAATATTATTTTATTTCTTAAATTATATGAATTTATTTTTTTAATAATAAATCTGACAAATATGATTTATTTTCCTCAACTTCAAATTATCTACTTATAGATAATAAAATATTTATAATTATGAGTAATAATTATTTATAAATATTTTAACTATTATTCGTAGAACCAATAATAAAAAATACAAAAAAAAACAAAAATATATAAAAATATTTTTTATATTATAGTATATTATATTAACTTACCAAGCTCTTTCTAAATATTTAATGTAATCCCACATCAAACTCAATTGAAATAATTTATTAAATTGAAAAGAATTGTATTTGAGTTGAATCAAGCATTAATTAAATGGTATACTTGTTAATTATTTTAACATCTAAATTTTTTAAATAAGTACTTTGCCAATTTTATGAAACGAGATTTTTGACAGCTTTTCCTATGTATTATTAAAACATTATAATACCTCCGCATTTTTTATTATGAATATCAGTATTATTCTCTGAAATTTGTAATGTAATTGAACAAGTTAATTCTTTGGTAAACATGGAATGTACCTTTTGCTATGATACTCTCTATTATGAGTAAGGAGATTGGAAGGAATAATCGTTATCAATAGTCACAAATCTTTCTAAATCTTCACCTAATACTCTAGCCCTTAGTCAAATAGCATATAAATAGCATCTTAATACTAATTATTAACTTAAACTTAAATTTCAAATAGTGACTATTCTCCACTTAGACATCATTATTATTCATTACAGACTCAGACTTTATACCCTTATGAATATTATCTATTAATGTTATGTCTTCATCGCACAAGCAAACCAAGGATAAATATTAATTAAATATGGTGATTACACTAATCATCAATATTATCTTGGCTTAAAACTAGATTCTGTCAAGAAGAAGTGAAAATTTCCCACTAATTAATCTCCCAAGTGGTTTGAATTAACTTCAAATTTGCTTTATTCAATGGATGTAGTGATATATTATGATGTTGTTGTTACATCAATGTTTCGTGTGAATATTTAAGTTAAATTTTTTGAAGCATTTATGTATATTAATTCGACATCAAATTTATAATGCATTTCACAATCATTGGGATAATAGATGATGAATGTGTGAATCATCTTGACTTTTACTTGCTATTATTCACCTTGGATTATCCTTAGCATTATTGATGATTCTTTAGTTTCATGTCTCTGTCTTGATTAACAGCTAATGAGAGAGTAGGGATTTGTTTTGGCTTAATATAGAAAACACATGCATGCGTATTTTGGTTTGAGTTTGTGATTAAAGTGTGAAAAGAACTGAATAAGGGTCATTCAACAACTGTTAGGTTAAAGGTAGTGTCCTTAACTTTCGTTTTCAAAGGCAGGTTAAGGAAGATTCCCGCACCACTTCTCTAACCTATGATCTCTATTAATTCTCTTTAATGAAATCATCATTACACTAAGTATTTCATGATTAAAAAAAAATAATTATTTTATAAATTAATTTATAGAAATTCTCTATAAGATATCTCTTTATCAATATTATGAGATTAATTCCTTTTAAATCGTAAAAATTACTGAAATAAATTTTAACCCTTCTTAGAAGGTGTTTTTTCATATCAAAATAAAAAGTTGACCTACGCCCATGTACATTATGAAATACTTATCAACTAGACCACGTTGGTAATTAAGTATAGAATATACAAATACAATTACTTAAAACTAAAAGGGTTAGAAAAAAATATTCGTAAGAAAAACTCATTATAATATTATTTTTACTTTTAGAATCTTAGAAGTAAAAAAATTTCATAATTCATATGAGATTTGCGGTTCAAAATTTTTCTTGCTAGTTTTTTTTTTTTAATTTATCCAAACATTTTAAAAATGTGTCATTTTATTTAAGAAAAAAAACTTTTTTCTAGAAAGAAAAAAAAAATCAACAAACAGATCCAACATTTGCTGAAATGTTGGCTTGCGGGCACCTACTAATACCTTCCGTAAGTATATTGAATTATTATTATTATTATTATTATTATTATTATTATTATTATTATTATTAATTATAGGTATAAATACTATTTAATTAAATAACTTTTCCACCAAATATTAAAAAAATTATATTATTCTATTTTTTAAACTTTTTGTTATACCTCATAATGAAATAAAGTTAGAAAAAATAATAAATAAATAAATAAATTAGGAAAAACATAATACATTAACCGTCACTCATCCAAGATTTTATTAAAAATAAATAAATTAATGTATGTGAGTATTGTTGGAGTGCTTGATAAATAAGTTCTGCATTGTATTATCACTCCAAAATTTAATAATATTTGAAAATTTAAAAAATATATTGTATAAGAAAATTTATAGTTAAAACAGAAAATAAGAGAAAGTGTATGTATATGAAATCATTCATGTGACTTCCCTTAGATAAAGCGATGATTGGATTTATGACTATTAGTTGCAGTAATTTTGGTATTATTGAAGATGAATTTTGAGAATAAATGATATAGTACATTTCTCAAACTTTTTTTTTTTTTTTTTTTTATGTTTTGAACGAATTGTTACTAAATTGATAATTTTGGGAATAAATTTATGTAGATAAAAAATCTCGAAAACTAAAGTATTGCAGCTAATATATTTTAGAAATCAAATACTAGATTTAATAATTAATGCAATGAGTTGTTTAAATAAATCGAGTTTGCAAACAACATGACATATTAACCATTGGTTGATGTGCTTATAATAATCCCCTAATCAAACCTAAGAATGGGGATCTTACTCATTCTTATTTTATTCCAACCAAGTTTCTAATCAATATGACATACTAACCATTTTTCATGACCTTTAGTATGGTCTTAGAAATATTTTTCAGTTACATATTTAAGTTTTGATCCCCTATACTCAATCCAATTCTTCTTTCATTATCCACAATTTTCTTTTAGAACAAGATATCTAATAATATAGATTAAATTTTAAATTTATATCTAATAAATAAATTATAATTTCAATAAAACTAACATTAAACTATAAGTTATTGTATATGACAATTATGATATTTTTTAGAATTAAATTGCTAATTTTAGAAGAGGGGTCCTGCTAAATTATAATACTGGCACGTAAGTATTTGATGATTCTAATTGATTTTTTTTTCTTTATTAACTTCTTTTTACTGTTTACTTATCTTTTCTTATATATTTTTGTTTTCATTTTTTAATCTTGTAGTAATTTAAGCACCTATTATATTTTACGTGTCTTTTTTATATTATTTATTGAAATTTTTTAGTTTTCGTTAATACTAGTATTTATAAAATAAAGAATAATTTATGTGATGAATGAGATTCATGATTAATCTAATGATTAATGATGTTACACTTGATAAACCTAAAAACATCTCATATGTGGCCGAAATCGTAGTCACCTTCGAGTTTGGGTAAAAAAAAAAACTCAATCAAAACCAATAAAATGATTATCTTAATTAAAGGATTTCTTAAGTTAATTTTGATTTTTGAATTTTAAAATTAAAAAAAAAAATCAAATTCACATTTAATATAGATATAATTATATTGAATTTAAAATAAAAATATAGATTTAAATTTAAAATGAATTTATTAAAGTAACTTATTTGAATGTAAATAATTATGAATTAAATTTGAATTTTTTTTCTCTCATATATTCTTTAGACTCCTTCTTAGAACAACCTTTCTGCATAAATTATTGAAAGAGAGAAAAATATGTAGAAAATATATTGAAAACTGTGTATATGAATTACACGTTAGAGTCTATTTCATTTTATATAAAGATAATGATAATAAATATATTACATAATATATGTATAAATCATATTCTAATACATTTGATTCTACTAAAATGTTCTTATAATTATAAATATTTTAAATAAATAAATAAATTATAAATAATTTTGGAGATAAAATAAGAAATTCTAAAATATTCCAAGATAATATATTTAGAAAATATTCATCTATTTTTCTCTCTTTCAACACAAACTTAAAAAATAATTAATTTCATGATCAAAATTAAATAAAAAGACTTAATTTAAAAATAAATACAAATTTAAGGACCTGAGAGATATAATAAAAATTTGTTATACATATATTTTGTGATTTTTGCTTTCGCTTTTAGTTAATTTGATTTATGTTTTTTGACTTCAATGAATCTACTTGGAAACAAGTAGACACAATCGAGATTCAAAAGTTTAGAAGAAGATGGAAGAAGTAAGAAGCAAGGTTTGAATTTGATAGAGATCCACCCAATTGGGTGGGGAACAGAGTGGCAAATATATCTTTGTGATGAGAAATATGAATGTGATATCGAAGTGGAAGTGCGTGTGTTGGGTAAGAGTTAAAGTAGACAGGGCACCTTCCTTGTTTCTTCCACCAATTAGATCTTCTCCACGCAACTTGAAGACTTCAATACTGAGGTTGTCAACATGTCTTCGTCTTCTCTCACACCTCAACGCCATTACTAACGTGAATGTTATGTAATGTTTATAAAGGATAAATAAATAATATCAATTTAGCTTTTATTAAAGCGTATAAAAATTTAATTTAATATTAAAAGTTATAAAATAAAAATCTTAAAATTAATTTTAATTTTAATAATTATTTTTATTTTAAATAGGTATTTGACAAATACAATTTAATCTTTTAATATTTGATAAAATATAATTTAATCCATGTAAGAACTAAATTGTTTTTAATGATATATGTAATATTTGTTTGAAAAAAATAATAATTAAAAAAATATATATATTTTCAATGATGATAAGGAAAATTCTGAATTTATAATTTTTAGTTGTAAAAGATCAATCTAATAATATATCTACAAAGGATAAATATTTTATCAAATTATTTGAAATCATATAATTTTTAAGTTGTTATACGTTTAACTTGCATAGGTTGAAGTTATTTTTTAAAAATTGGTATTAGTGATAACTTCTTTAAAATCAACTAATCGTGATATTCATGATCACTAAGACACTCAATAACCATCCTCTTCTATTCTGTCTTCTCTAACCTTAAACCTTTCAACCCTCTTGCACTAATTCCAAATAGAAGTATTATATGATCTTATTAGACGAGTTACTATACATTAGTTATTCTTAACATAAGCTTATCAAAATAAGCTATTACATAATTTGTTTTCATTGACATCACTTAAGAGATTTCAAATGTATTCGTTGATTTTGGTATCAGTCAATATCTTTGATATTAGTTGAGATGACATTAGATGACTCACTAACTGCTATTAATACCAACCATGGTAGTTAGAATCGTATGAATCACACGATACGAAATGTGATTCAGTTCAAAATTTTTCTTCTACAATACATATCGGTAGGTGAACCTCTTTATTGTGAGAAGAAAAATCTCACATCAGGAAAATCTTAGTTTGTTGCTTCCTTTTCTTACTATAAAAGGAGCACAGTATTTACCTTGTAAGATGCACCAAAATCACTTCCTTTTCTTTCTCTTGCTGCTTTAGTACTTGAGAAATAAATTAAGAGAGAAAACTAGTTTCTCCTTTTAGATTCTCTTAGAGTTGTTTTTCCTTTATTTTCAGGAGAGGGTGTTATTGTTTCCTCCTTGGAGGTAGAGAGAGAATGATTGTAATTTTTTTCATTAGTGGAATTACTCTTTTTCCTATTGTCTGTTTTTTTTCTAATATTTTTATTTTAGTTGTGTGTGCTTATGCTTTTGTCTGATATCTAACAGTGGTATTAGAGTCACTAGGTTGTGATATTGGTCTTCTACTGCATAGTCATTAGAATAGTGTTGGAGAAATTCTTAGTATGCTCTGTGGTTACCGTTAATCTGATCTTTCACATAAGAAAATAGTTCTTCTTGTTACTGGATGTTATTTGGTAGTGTGATAGTGCATGTCTAGGAAGAGTTCTGGCAAGGAAATGCTTGGTATTTAAGCGTGTCCATTAGTGACCCACCTCTCTTTCTTGGGAACTTACCTGGTGTACTAGTTCACGGTCTATCGTTGTTGTTCTAGTAGGTAATACTATTCATAGTGAGGATTGCATAAGTCGATTTTGGAACCATGACAACAAAATATGAGATAGAGAAGTTCAATGGGAGTAATTTCTCATTGTGAAAATTTAAGATAAAGGCAATTTTGAGGAAGGACAATTGTATTGATGTAATTGCGGAAAGAATCGTGGAACACATGGATGAACGACGGTGGAAAGAAATGAACGACAATGCTATTGCGAATTTGCACTTATCAATGACAGATTCGATTTTATCCAGTGTTGCGGAGAAGACTACTACGAAGGAGATTTGAGATACCCTTATTAAACTATATGAGGTGAAGTTACTTCACACAAAAATATTCTTGAAGAGAAAACTCTATACTCTTCAGATGAGTGAGTCCACATCAATGACAGGCCACATCAACCATTTGAATACCTTATTGGCCCAACTATCAGCGACAGATTTCAACATAGTTAAAAATGAGCGTGCAGAGCTTCTACTTCAGAGTTTACCTGATCCGTATGATCAACTCATCATCAATATTACAAATAATAATATTGATGGGAATATGCACTTTGAGGATGTTGCTGGAGCTATTCTTGAAAAAGAATCCAGGTGGATATGTAAGAGCGAAAGTTCCAAACAAGGAGAGGCTTTGACAATGATGAGAGGAAGATCAACAAAACATGGCTCGAGTAATGATAGATCGAGGTCTCGAAGTAAGAAGAGTTCTAAAATCAAATGCTACTTTTGTGACAAGAAAGGACATACGAGAAATGAGTGTTGAAAGAGGAAGAATGGAGGAAACAACTCTTAAGAATCAACCTCACAAGGTTGTGTTGTAAGTACCTCGAAAGATGAAGATATTTTGGTGAGTGAAGCAGTAATTAGCTCTAATGGTGAAAAGGAGTTTCATGACAAGTGGATAGTAGATTCAGGTGCAACATGGCACATGACTCTACACCGAGATTGGTTTCACACTTATGAACTATTCTCAGGTGGATCTGTCTTCATGGGAAACAACCATGCATTGGAGATTACTAGAGTTGATATTGTCAATATTAAAATGTATGATGTTATGTTTGCACAATTCAAGGGGTACGACATGTGAAGGACTTGAAGAAGAATATATTGTCCATTGGACAATTAGATGACCTCGGGTGTAAGATCCATGTTGAAAATGGAATCTTGAAGGTGGGGAAAGGGAGTTTGGTGGTCATGAAGACAAAGAAGATTATGGCAAATTTGTATGTGTTGCTTGGAGATACGTTAAAAGAAACGGATGCATCAGTTGCGGCAACAAGTCAGGAAGATGCAGTGATCATGTGGCATCATAGACTTATTCATATGTCAGAACATGGTCTGAAAATCCTTGTAGAACGTAATCTCTTACCCTGCCTTAAAGAAGTTAGTTTACCATTCTACGAGCACTGTGTGATAAGTAAGCAACATAGATTGAAGTTTGTTAGAGTGACTGCTAAAAGTAAACACATATTGGACTTGATTCATTCTGATGTGTGGGAATCGTCGGTATTATCCCTCGGAGGAGCAAAATATTTTGTATCATTCATCGATGATTACTCCAGGAGATTGTGGGTATGCCCTATCAAGAAGAAGTCAGATGTGTTTTCACAGTTCAAGGAATTCAAAGTACAAGTAGAACTTAAAACTGGGAAAAGAATTAAATGCTTGAGGACAGATAACGCAGGAGAATATGTAGACGGAGAATTTTTAGCATTTTGCAAGCAAGAGGGTATCACCAGACAATTTTCTGTCTCACATATGCCTCAGAAAAATGGTATAGCAGAGCAGATGACTAAACTCTCCTAGAAAGAACTAGAGCTATGTTGCGAACAACTGGAGTAGCCAAGTCTTTTTGGGCAGAAGCAGTTAAATCTGCCTGTTATGCTATAAATCGGTCACCATCAACCGCCATTGGTTTGAGCACACCAATGGAGTTATGGAAAGGTAAACCAGCTAATTATTCATCTTTACATGTTTTTGGTTGTCCTGTGTACGTCATGTACAACACTCAAGAAAGAAAAAAAATTGGATCCAAAATCCAGGAAATGTATCTTCTTGGGTTATGATGACAATGTGAAGGGGTATCGCATATGGGACCCCACTTCCCACAAGGTTGTTATTAGTAGAAATGTAGTCTTTGCAGAAAATGAACTGCAAAGTGAGCAGACAAATGACAGCTTGATAAAGGACAAGGTTGTAGAATAGATAGAGAAGAAGTCTTCAGATGACTTGTTTGAGTCAGAAGAGGAGCACGAAGATCAAGTGTCAAATGAGGTTGGTAATGAAGATCTCCAGCGATCAAAACGAGAAAAAGTCAGACCATCTTGGCATTCACAATATGTGATGACAAGTCATGATGCGTATTGTCTTCTAAATGAAGAAGGAGAACCTTCAACTTTTCAAGAGACTATGAGTTGTTTAGATGCTTCTCTGTAGATGGCTGCAATGTAGGAAGAAATGAAGGCTCTTCATAAAAATAAGACATGAAATGTTGTAGAACTTCGAAAGGTCGAAGAGTCATTGGTTGCAACTGGGTCTATAAGATCAAGGGAGATAGCAATGATCAAGTAGAAAGATATCGCGCTAGATTGGTGGTAAAGGGATATGCTCAGAAAAAAGGTATTGATTTCAATGAGATATTCTCGCCGATTGTCAGATTGACGTCCATCAGAGTTGTCTTGGCTATGTGTGCTGCATTTGATTTACATCTTGAACAATTGGATGTAAAGACTGTTTTTCTTCATAGAAATCTTGAAGAGGAGATTTATATGCTCCAACCAGAAGGCTTTAAAGAACAATAAAACTTGGTTTGCAGGTTGACCAAATCTCTATACGGTCTAAAGTAGGCGCCCAGATGTTGGTATAAGAGATTTGATTCCTTTATTATTTGTCTTGGTTACAATAGACTGAGTTCAGGCCATTGTACATACTACAATAGGTTTGGTGATAATGATTTTGTTATCTTGTTATTGTATGTGGATGACATGTTGGTAGTAGGTCCCAACATAGATCGAATCCAAGAGTTAAAGACATAATTGGCTAGGGAGTTTGACATTACAAAAAAAAAAAAACAGTTTTAGCGACCGAAAAAATTGGTCGCCAGCGACCGAAATGCGTCGTCGCAAAAGGCCAAGTCGCTAATGTTTTAGCGACCGACTTATTTACAACCCCTATATTATCTAAAGGCTCTCCCACCCTTTATATTATATTTTTTAGAAATTTAAATTATTATTAGATTAGTGTCAATGACAAGATTCAAACCTCGATACCTTAAAATTGGAGATTGATACTCCAACCACTAAGCTACAAGGATTTTCTAATAATAACTTACAAATAAATTATATTTATATACAAATAAAATGTATATTGGTATAAATATATAAATATAAAATCTATAAATACAAATATATTTATATATTTATATATTCATATGTTTTGATATATTTATATATTTAAA